CCATAACCTCCACCTTTATAACCATTATTCTTGTAACATTTCACTTTCATAACCTCCTCCATTATATTCATGTTAATGTCATGTTTATGACTAACATTTTGTATGCCTCTATGTTACACTATAAATAGAGGCATAAAGGTTCATATTGTATACACTTGAAGATTTGGTGAACACTTGAAAGAAAGAAAGTTATCTCATATTGTTCCTCTTGTGTTATATTCTTCTTGTCTTCATCTTTATATTGTTCTTTTGTTCTTAAGTTTTACAACATATTGCAAATTTTCTAAAAATAAATGTCAAATAGAGTGTGAAATTAGAGTGGAAAGAATATGAAAAAGGTTTTGAGGGACATACTAATATATGCATTAGCTATACATACATTAAAAAAGTATATCAAATGAAGTTATATATATATATATCATCAACCCCTAAATTTGTGTACTTAAATCTAGTGAAAAAAAGGCAGAAAAAAGTCATGAAAAAAGGAAATGAAGGCGCCATCTAAGATTGACTATTCTAGAATTGGATAATTCTCAAAAAAGATCTTATATTCTTATTCTCACTTAAATCTATATATATTCCTACTTAAAAATAATCTTTTTAATGCTACTCTTTAGGCCTTAAATTAAATTAAAATAAAATACAGTTTTAATTTAAATAATAAAGTTCTACGATTTCTGGCAAAAAAAAAAAAAGCCGACCACTGCATAAGTTATTATCCACTCAGAACAGAAGCAATCTTTTTTCTGATCTCCAAAGCAAGAATAATATTGTGAAAGACAATATATTACATTAAAAATTAAAGGAAAAACATGATATGCATTTATGCAAAGATATGGTCACTAAAACATAGTAAATTATAGATAGAAATCAGTTATCAAAAGTCAAAGATCACATGAATATACTAATACTATGACTGGCATAGAAGTAATAAGACAACTCTCAATTATTATCTACTAATCTTCTATTCCTATCCGCAACTTTCATGTCCTTCTATCTAAGGGCATATCATCGATAAGTGAAAATGTGGCATATCCTAATTCTTACCTAATCATGATCTCTCCTCGTTAATGCTTATTCAACCTATCTCTGCCTTTTATCAATCTTTCTATATCCAACCTCTCACACCTCTTTACTGGGGTCTGGAGCATCCATACCTCTCATTTTCACTGTCTAAACTATCTCAATCTCCCTTCCTTCATCTTGTTTGTGTGTCATATCGTAATTCCTACCTAATCATGATTTCTCCCCAATACTTATTTAACCTACCTCTGTCTGTCATCAATCTCTATATCCAACTTCTCACACCTCCTTGCTTGGGTCTGGAGCATCCACACCTTTCATTTTCACTATTCAAATCATCTCAATCTCCCTTCCTTCATCTTGTCTATCACAGAGATCATCCACACTTGTCCCAAATAACCTCAATACTAATTCTACCGCTCTTAGTATGCCACACTTCCATCTTAACATCCTCATTTTCTCCACTTACATCTTGATGAACTTGTGAGTTTTTCTCTAACCAACACTTCGCCCTATATAACAAAATTAATCAAACCACCGTTCTATAAAACAATGGTACCTTTTTGTTACACAAACCACCGTTCTATAAAACTTAGTACAATGTGTGATAATATTATCGATCTTCTTAGACCAAAAAATAATAAATAAAACGATAATTTTACCGACTATAGAAATAGTGGGATGGAGAGTAGTTTGCTCGAGACCAAATTTCCCACACTATTTCTCCACTAACACGTGTCAATAAATGCCAGCTTCAATTACACGTCATACTCCTAGTCATCAATTGCACATATTTTTCCTATTTTACCCTCCACCCCCAAAAATATAGCCTCTATATCCCTTCTCCTTATATTTGTCTTCACCCCCACTCTTTCTCCTTCCATCTCTCCATTTTCCCCCACTCTCTCTCCCTATCCTAAAATATTCCCTCATTTTCAAATTTTGCTCAACAATTTCAATTCTAAGTCAAAGTTTTTTGCTATTTTCTTGGTGGGTTTTGATCTAAAGTTCACTTTTATGAGGTTAATTTGTTGAAATTTTCGGATCTGTAACTGGGTTGTGAAGAATCTGTTTTTGGGGTTGTGGGAGTTGTTGATTTGGTGAAATTTTTGGATCTGAAAGTGGGTTTTGAAGAGTTTGTTTCTGGGGTTGTGGGAATTTTGTATTGATTGACTTTTGGATTTCAAGTTCAGATTTTTTTTCGATGTCGTCAACGTATTGGTGTTATAGATGCAATAGATTTTACAGAGTATGGAGCGAGGAATCGATTGCTTGTCCTGATTGTAACACGGGATTTGTTGAAGAAATTGAGGCTCCGACCCGATCCACGTTGTCCGGGTCACGGCGTCGGCGTATCCCTCCGGCGGTGATGCAGACGGCAGCGCGGAGTACGGAGCAGTCTCCTGCTTCGGGTTATGGTTCCGGGTCAAGTCCGGGTGTTCGTAGGAACCGGAGGAATACTGGTGACCGGTCGCCGTTTAATCCTGTGATAGTCCTTCGTGGTTCTACCAATGGAGGTGGCGCGGGAGGGGAAGGTGGTGGAGGCGGTGGAGGGGGGTTTGAACTGTATTATGATGATGGAACCGGGTCGGGTTTGAGACCTTTACCTACGAGTATGTCTGAGTTTTTACTCGGGTCAGGTTTCGATAGGCTTTTGGATCAGCTAGCACAGATTGAAGCTAATGGTATTGGAAGAATAGAGAATCCACCAGCTTCAAAAGCTGCAATTGAGTCGTTGCCAACAATTGAGATAATTCATTCTCATATTGTTACTGAATCTTGTTGTGCAGTGTGTAAAGAGGCATTCGAGTTAGGCACTGAGGCCCGCGAAATGCCCTGTAAGCATTTATACCATTCAGATTGCATACTCCCATGGCTTTCGTTGCGCAATTCGTGTCCAGTTTGTAGGCATGAATTGCCTTCAGAGAGTCGGGATGTTGTCGATCCGAATAGAGCACCAAGCGAACAGAGTGAACAGAGTGTAGCAACAAATAATGAGGTGGAGGAAGCTGTTGGATTGACCATATGGAGATTACCTGGTGGTGGATTTGCTGTTGGGAGGTTAGGTAGGAGAGGTGGGGAGAGAGCTCTTCCGGTTGTATTCACTGAAATGGATGGTGGTTTTAATAATAATAACAATAATGGAGTTCCAAGGAGGATTTCATGGGGTTCTAGAGGAAGCGAATCGCGACAAAGTGGTGGCTTTAGGAGGTTTTTTGGCAACTTGTTTTCGTGTTTCGGTGGTGTTGGTTCATCAGGGTCAAGCTCTAGTTCAGATTCTAGGATAAATCAGAGCAGAAGTAGTTCAATGTCATCTGTCTTTCTTGCTACAGCAAGAAGGCGCAGAGGCTGGGGTTTCGAAGCTAATAATGGAGTTAGAAGATGGTAACTTGAGTACCGGTGGACACGACAAGTTTATCATCATTGTAAATACACTGGAAGTGAATGCTGGCTCTTCAATGGCACGCAAGAATTTATTTTTGATATTTATTAAGATGATATTTATGCAAATGAGTTGAAGATCCTATAGCAGGGGTGGATGACATTGGAATATATTAGTGTAAGAATTGGCTCCCTGCAGTGTAATTCTTCCTTTTTATTCTTTTATCTGTCCCCTTTTATGATTTAGTGTCTTTTAAATTCAGCCCCGCTTGTTCGATAATTCTATTGGAACTAATGAAACTTACATGAATTCTCAGTTTCTTGTATCATGGCTTCTTTTTTACTTGGAAATTCAGGTACGTCCCACAATAGGGACCCTGCAATTAGTCTTGTCTTGATAGTTAAGAGACTTACTTTTGATCATGTAATCAAATTGGTCATTGAACCTTATTATAAATTGTAGATTGTTGTTCCTTTTAGCAGAATTCTCTTTGTTCTCTACATTTTGATGTCATTTCTAGAAGTTTGAAAGCTATCTACTATCGTTGATTGATTTCTGCAGAGGATAAGACTCTGTACATATGCTTAATATGATTAATGTTGAACGTTTGTATTCTTGGTGTTTCGGTTTGGGAGGGAAGTTTTTTAAGTGGTGTCGACTCATAGGTGATAAACTCTTGTAAGCATCAGTTACAGCATGGAAAGGTGAAATGATGTCGAAATAGCAGGCCATTATTGCATACTCTGATGGCAACATCAATTAACCGGCTGATAGATATGTTGATTTACTTTTTGAAAGTTACAGGTTATCGATAAGTTAAAGTGATTTTGATTGATAAAATGAGCCTATGGCCCAAGGGGGTAAAATCTTGTGCAAAGTGGGAACCTAATAACTTTTTGATAGGCGTTACATAAGAATCCATTTGTTGATTAAAAAAGTGTCTTTCAGTGGTGAAATGCATGCCTGATGTAGCTCCAGCCTTCTTGTCTAAGACTTTGTAGACGTGTATTCAATGAGGAAACTTTTCAGGACAGAAGAGTGTTTCTAGCTCAATCCTCCTGGATATGAATTATAAGTGGAGCTGGGTATCAATTAGAATACTTTGAAAAAGAGAGGAGGCAAAGTCGAAAGAGCCCTAGCAGCATTTTATTAGGATGGGACCTATAATAGTCTGGTGTGGTTATCATTTCCGTTATTTCTTTCTCTATATTGCTTTGAAGTGTTTTTTCTTGAGCTAAGGGTTTATCGGAAACATCCTCTCTATCTAAGGTAGTGGTAAGGTCTTCATATGCTCTACCCTCCTTAGACCCCACTTTGTGGGATTATGCTGGATATGCTATTGTTGCTGTTCTGTAAAGTGATTCCATTTGGGATGGTGGCAGAAAACTGAGTTTTATACTAATTTGTAATGACAGGGTATAGCTTAACTCTGTGATATCTCCATTTTCCTATATATAGTTTATAATACGAGTGATTGTTCACGTTCTCCTTTGTTCAATTTCTTAAGGTGGAAATTGTAGGTTTTCATGTATGGCTAGATGTGGAGCATGAGCTGCTTTGATTAGTTATGAACTCAAGAGTGACAAGTAGATTCTTAGCCGTATTATTCCTCAGCGTATGATACATCTTGGCAGAAACGAGGCTTCCAAAAGACATTCTGTTTTGTAGCAAACAGACTGCCTAAATCTTGTACTATTAGTTATCGCTTATCTGGCAGATTGTCCGGTTATTAATTGATGTTCTCGTCTTATTCCTGGTGTGTAACGTTTGCTTGTATACTGAACCAAATGAGTTTGGCTCTTTCATTAGTGAGTTAAATGCTTATGTAATTGTCATTCGTGTTAATAGTCTGCACTATTCCATGTTATGACAAGAAACTGGGATTTTTGGGACATTTTCACCTTTGCATTTGGCCATCAAATGGATCTGTCTCTTTTGAATGAAACATTCAGAAGAATACATGGCTATTTGACAACAGCCTAATGAGATTTTTGGACCACTAGTTGGATTGTTTAAAGTTATAGTTTGAGAACCTCAGCAAGCTCTTTTAATTTACTAAATTAGACCTGTATAACATATGGGGTCATCTAGGCTGAGTGGGATTGTAAATTGTACTCTGGTGATAAATAAAAAGAAGGTTTCTAATGGTAGAATGAATGCTTTTAAGATGACATTGAGAACCTCTGAGAAGAAGACAGGTGTTAGGGACAAATCTTCTTGGTTAAGAAAAGAAAAGAGGCTAGTTTATAGAGTACTTTAGTGATTTCTTAGGATAGGGGACCTAATAGTCTAGTGGGGTACACACTTTAGAGTGTGGCGGATCAATAAAGTCGGCTCAACACCATGATGTCTCAAACTTTATTGAACGGATTTGCCTGATACACGTTGGTGGTGGGAAGTGACAGATATTCTATGGAAAAGTGTTCTGGTGGGGCAGTGAGTATGTTTTGGTGCATTCCCTGTCTGCTAAGAATAAGAACTAGTTCTTGTTTCAAGTGAAGAGTATCTGATTGATACAATATTTTGTTTTCTAAAGTAACTCCATTAAGCATGGTGGTGTTGTTTAATAGTTTGTGATGACAGGTAATGTGGGACTAACCTAATCAGACTTGACTTGGAAAGTTTTTGCAACTGAATTTCCATATTCTGAGGGACCTGCTAGCTGCTGTCTGCTTAAGCTCAATTATATGTGGCCTCCATTGTCCTAATACACACTCAGGTTTGTTCATTTTCTATAAGATTGTCATGGTATGTTTGATGTATTATAGTGGACCATGAGCTGTGTGGACCTTTGGTTAATTGTATACAATCAAATTATAGTAGTGGAGATCATTTGAGGCTCTCTGCTAAAGGACAGAGATGACCAGAATTCTGATAAAGAAAGGGAAGCGTAAGGCCGGATGTCGTTAAGCATTTGCTTTTGTATCTCCTTTAGATTCAAAAGTTGTCGTTGGATGTTTCCTACATTGTCGTTTCGTTTTCTTGATATGGAAGAGGACGATGGGGTGCAAATCTGCGTATATACGCCACTATCAACTGCATCGCATGCCTTGGCATTTGAGTATGTTACTGGTGAAAATTTAGCTCACCTTTGGTACTTGGGTGGAAAAAGAATTCATATAGGCGATACCAATAAGTTGTGATTATGGTTAACAGAATTTAAATCTTCAACTATTGAATTGCGATGTGTTAAAATGAAATGATTGTGACTCGTGAAGATTCATCTAGTCGACTTCAAACTGATTTGACATCAACCATGGGCGAAGCTAGGGGACGTGAGGGGATTCATTTGACTCTCCTTTATTGAACATTTACATTGCGTCTAAGGTTAAAATTATTTATATGTTATGTAGTGGGCATCAAAAAAAATTTGTTATTTTGTTGCGTTTACTTTTTTGTATTTTGATTTTTTGTAATATAATTCCCAACTCCCCATACGGGGTTCGTTTATTATAAACTAAAAAGTGGTTAGTTGATTAATGATGTTGGAAAATGGCATATAAATGATGAAAGTCTATTCAAATTTTGCTTAGGTGACATGAATCTAACATTCCACTTAAAAATTAAAAAAATTGACTTTCTAATCATATTCTTATTTATATAAATTTAGTGAATACACTCTTGTGAGAAATAAAAGATCTTTTGGACATTATAATCTTCATTTTGGTTATATAATCTCTGTTATTATTAAGAGGATAAATTAAACATCTATGGAATGACAAATCATATCAAAAAGTTGAGAACGTGTCATGTGATGACAACAAATTTAGTTTTCTTTTGGATCCTTACAGCTTATTTTTGCTAATTAAATGGAAATTAAGGGCCTTAAATCATGGGATTTGTCTCTTCTTAATAAACATTCCCAAGAATAAGTGGCAAATTTTTGGCGTCGTAAATTAATATTTTTGGACCACCACTTTTTTGCTTCAATGAATAATAGGAAAAGCTTGCTCTAATTTCATGACAGAATAATAATTATTCCTTACATACAATTAAAGTAGTTAATCAACTTTGTACTTGGAATAAAGTTTTGTCCATTGTCTTTTTTCAAGAAAATTACAATTACTCTTCATTTTTGTTCGTTTCCAAATGGTGTCCGGTATTCTCATTAGAGTCTGATTAATTCGAAAAATACTCTCTTCCAAGGCATTTGTATAAAACAATTCAAAAATAAAGGGAATTTCTTTGCCCGTTAAAGTGAGGTATCCCATCCCAACCATATGGTAACTTATAACAATATGAAAGCTTAGAAATATCAAGCAAAAGGAATACGAGTTAGCATATTTAACACCATCAGGTATTTCTATACGATCTACGAGTATATGCTACTAGTGTATAAATATATTATAAATACATGGCGATTTTTACTTCGCTTTGCCCTTCCCTTTTCCTTTCTTTGCTTCAAGTTTGGCTTGGATACGAGCAGCTGCTGCGGCCTTGGCTTCTTCTCTCTTCTTCTTCTCTTCCTCCTTAGCTGCAGCTGCCATTTCTCTTTGCTTCTTTAGTTCCCTGTTTAATACAGTGACAACAATTGTTTTGTCGAAATTCCATTCAGTTGCTTCTTACAGAGAATCAAACCATGTTTTTCGAGCTAACAGAAAGAGAGATCACTTACTCCAGCCTAGCCCTTTCATCTGAAGCGCTGCTGACACTCGAACCCTTACGTGGTCTACAAGCCACCAGCTCAACCTCGAAAACAAGGGTTGCCCTGTATTAAGATGTTTCAAACTCAGCAATTAGATTACCACAAAGAACACTGTCCCGCCCAGCTCAAAACATTGATTGTCTTGCTACCAATCAACGTCATGTTGCTTTAACATGCTGGGAGTGCTGGAATTACATGGAAGTTGGTCTTAGTGACTTGATGAGATGGAAATGCTAAAAAGGATGCCCAGGTAAGGTGAAGTCAATCTACAGAACCCTAGGCTCCCAGACCGGTTTAGAGTTTCACCATTTAGTAGAGGGACTTTATTTTGCATGGTTCAAAGTGGACCCATGACCATTTTCCTAATAAAGAAACATTGTTATTTTTAATCCCCTTTCTTAATAGAGTACATATGAATGTTGGGATCAGGAGAAGGAGCACGAATTCTCTTCTTCAGTTAAAACCTCATAACGGAGACAAATCCAAGATTTAAACTTAATGGTTTTAACTTTAAGTTCTTAGAACTAAGCTTATCATACTCCCAAAGTTATGAATTGGAGTTTAATATATGTTCATTTTAGTGGGTTTGCATAAATATATCTATGTTCGGTGTCAATCGCACCTGAGGGTACTATCAGCTATTTCATGACATGAGACGCTTGCAGCATGTAAAAAAGATTTACAGAGTTAACTTACTCGGGGGGGATATCCGGTGGGGACCCAGCACTTCCATAGGCATACTCTGGCTTGCAGGTAATTACAGCTACTTCCCCAACCTGGAAGATCAAATTAAAAAAAGTTGAGCGCTAATTTAAACTCAATGTACAACCACCGCAAGT